CCATTTCTGTAATATACTCACATACCTATATTATTGCTAATATATATTGTAATATATCTATGTCACTAAAGCACTTCTGGATGGATGCAAACTGCATTTCGTTGCCCTGTACCTGTGCATGTGCAATGACAATAAAGTTGAATTCTATTCTATTCTATTCTATTCTATTCTATTCTATAGGAGGTACCACGAGGAGAGGGGAGTCAAGGCAACAGGCCCGTACATCTGTGCCTTGGATTTTCACTTTAAAGTGACATTAAAGCTGAGTTTGAACGCTCTGCATCTAATCAAATTCAAAATGTAGCATAACATGAAAAGCTCTGTTTACATGGAGAGTCGGATCATCAGAGAACCAGCTTTTTGAAGAGCCGTACACAGTTGCTTGTTATCTGTGCTGTGTGCATGCCTATTTATGTGCTGAAGGTGAAAACACTGAGCAAAGGGAGGAGTGTATGATCTGTAGATACTATGGAAGCTGAAGATTGTACCTGACACCCGTTTGCTGCTGCCACCTTCTGGCCTTCAGGTGCTCTGGACGTGCTGTTTTTTGTCCTACAGCTTTAAGAGGCTCTGTCTCGGCTCTTAGTTGTTGGCACACCTGTTCACCATAAGTCATCACAGCACAGCTCATGGGCTGGGCTCCTCCAAAGGTAACCACCAAGCTGATGTTGGTTGGAGTTGTTTTATATGTTTAGATTAGTTTGTTGTCTCCTGCATGCTGTCATCTGCTGCTCTCCCTCAGGTATGTTCCCAGCTCAGGTGTGTTTGTGAGGGAGTGTTAGGGACCCGCAGAGACACTGGAGACAATAACTTGTACGAGCACAACTAAACTCATGGCTGCTGATCATTTAAGGTTTACCTTCAAAGTAGGAACTGCTGTCCTCCCTTAAACTGTGTGTACAGTGACTGGAGAACAATCCTCAGTGCTGGCCTGCACCTGGGACACTGCAAACCAGGGTGCTTTGCTAGAAAGCAAGTTCAGCACATGCAGGATGTGTTTCTGATATCGCGGTTTCGCAAT